ACTGACTGTGATTTAAAAAAAGAAAAGCCAAATGCAGCTCTAAAGGCCTTCTTCCAACAAGGCGTCTCTCCTGCATATGTCAAAATCATACAAGATTCCTTTCAAGATGGAACGTCAGCGGTGACCTTGTTTGACAATCTTCTGATGAGTAATATACAGGGAGGAATAGGGCAGGGAGAGGCCTACCCAACAACAGTCTTCACTGCTTCGTTAGGTGGGATTTCCAACACAGTCCAAAATTGAAGAAGAGTTCTTGTATAGATGGTGGTGAGGTCCTTTAAATGCTTCTCTTTGCAGATTATGTTCTGCTGATTAAAGGAGCTATTTCACAGCCTTCTAAGGAGACTTATTATCCATCCAAGAAAAACCAAGGAGATGAAGAATGCCTATTGTCCAAACTATATGTAGTTCAATAGATAACCCATAGGGGTTGCACATTGTAGAAGAGAAATGATGGAAAAGTGTGAAAGATGTAGAAAAGGGAAAAGAGCTGTAAGCCTGTCAAATAGCAAAAATGAAGGATAACTTGGTGGACAGCTTGAATGTTCCATGAGTGTTCATCCATATGATGTTAAAAGACCTAGAAGGCTCCCAGCATGTTGGGCGGATTTATAAAAGGACATGGTCATGCCCAGCGCCTGTTACACAGGAGGCATTTAATAAATTCTTGTTGTCTGATTGACAATGAGACAGGATAGATAGGCAGGACTGGGTTTTGATCTGTATGGCTGGAGAGAGCCCATATTGAGAATAGACTCTTGGAGTATTGAAATGTGTGAAGATTGACCCAGAAAACCCTAGTGAGTCAGTGAAAAAAACTAACAGAAATAATTAAAAGTTTTATCAAAGGAACCAGATAAGAACTAAATTTACAAAAATCTTTAGCTTTTCTGTATATTTATAACAAAATCCAGGAGAGACAGAAAAGCAACTTCCATCTCTCTTCTGCTTTGATCTCTAGCGGAGGTGGGGCGGGGTGGCGAGACCATGCCATGCTTTGTTAGGAAGCTTTTCGAAGGATCCTCTTTGTAGCTTGTGGCAACGTAAGTTGAGAACTGTCCTACAGGTAGTGAAGAGCAACCCCAGAATTCCTCTGAACCGAGATCCAGTGCACAGAGTCTGGCACACAGGAAGTGCTTAATAAATGCTTTATTTGATCACCACATGGTTTCTTACCTTCCTGCTCTTAGTTTTGCCATTGGGAGCCGAGGAAAACAAGTCTACTTCTTCCATATAACAGCTCCTCAGATACTGGAGAACAGCTACAGAACCTCAGGAAGAATGAATCAATTGGCCTCCATCTGGCAGTTCAGTAATTGAGAATTTGGTTAGGGTGAATTGGTTCCCCAGGGCATGATCCCCTCCCTCCACTGGCAGGCAGCTAGGTAGAGTGGTGGGGAGAGGGGTCAAATCTGACCTCCGACACGTATTAGTAGTGGGATGAGCTGGCTAAGTCGCCCTGTCTATCTCAGTTTTCTCAGCTGTAAAATGATAATGGCACCTGTTTCAAAAGGGTTATTCTGAGGATCAAAATGAGATACTTGTGAAATGCATAGCACAGTGTCTAGGATGTAGTAAGTGCTCGATCAATGCCTGTTCCCTTCCCCCGTGCATAAAACTGAATCCCAAGCCAGTAAAACAAAGGACAAGACCCTCCAACCACGGTGTCCTTACCCTTTGAGAACTAGCCTGAACAGCTTAATTTCAAATGTGATGAGGACCAGGCCATTTCCCCCCACCCGCTTCTGAGTATTTAAAACACATTTATACAGACCACAGCCAGATTTTTCGGCAGATCTGAGCTGCAAGGTTACAACTCCTCCATGATGCTTCTGTTCATACTGAGCCCTAGAACACCATAAAACTCTTTCAGTAAAATTGACAGCCACGTCAAAGAGCTGACATGCTGCTCAAGGGGCACTAGAAGGAACTGGGGGTGTTTAGCCTGGAGAACAGGAGACTTGGAGATGGTCATGCTGGCTGACAGTATCTGAACCATTCCCACAGGGAAGAGGGATTAAGATTGCTTCTCCTGGCCCTAGAGGGCAGAACTAGGGACAATAGGTGGGTGGTCTGGGGAAGGCAGACCTTGGTTCCATGTCAAGGAAAACATTCCAAAAATGTGAGCTGTCTTAAAGTGGAATTTATTTCGTGGGGAAGAGGGAGGGATTCATGGTGGGGAGGGTGGGCAGCCTGTGTCTCCTTGTCTGAATGAATGCTGAAGGGGCCATTGTGGGGGACGCTGTAACTGGTGGCTGGACCAGGTAACTGCTGAGGCTCCTTCCACATCTAAGATACTTCTGATTCTCTGAACAAACAGAGGGTGCTTTTGGTGCCGGGTGTCTTGTCTTAACAAATGACAGCTTAAAAGCTGTAAGTACGCTAATGGACTCCCGGGGATTGGAAAGTCCGTAATTTTGTACTTAGTACAATTTGTGAGGGTAGGGATGTGTTTTGCAACATAGGAGGAAGGCTGTGGTTTTTCAATGATTAATAAGTGTTGAGTTTCTTGTTAACTTTTTCTTGCCTCCTTGCAAGGGTTCTTGCACTAGGATCTCTGGACCTTGTTAAAAGAGCACCACAGCGGACAGAGTGCCTGCTGGACCTGCAGTCAGGAAGACCCAAGTTCAAATCCTGCCTCAGATATTTAATAGCTGTGTGACTTTAGGCAAGACAATTCACCTCTGCCTTAGTTTGCTCATCTGTGAAACAGACATTGGAATAGCACCTACCTCTCAGGGGTAATAACATAATAATAGTAACAAAATTATTCTGAGAGTCAGGGTTTTTTTGAGGATAAAATGAGATATTTGAAAAACACTTTGTAAACGTTGGACAGAAATGCTATTATTATCATCGTTTTAAATATTTTGATAACTATTTCAGCATAACTGATTTCCTCTATAATCCTATGTATTTTATTTTGTGCATTTACATTCTGAGAAGGGGTCCATAAGCCTCACCAGATACTGCCAGTGGGTCTGAGACAAAAAAGGTTAAGAACCCCCTCCCCACCATTTTTTTTTATTACTGAAACTTAAATACACGACAAGAAAAGAAAAAGAAACAAACTTAAATACTGAAACTTAAATACATAAGAAAAAAAAGCATGTTATGTGCATGTAGAACGTAAGAGAGGATTCAGAATACATAGTGATAAATTTCTGTCTCAAGAAAGCCTACATAATAACGTGGTGTGTGAGTAGCCGTCTGTCTTGTCTTAGTTTCTTTGTTAAGAACCCCCTTTTTATTTGATTGCTAAGTTTTGACCCTGGTTAAAAAGACAGAGACATTTTTCTCTATTGGGGATTAGGAAGGAGAGAGGTAGGATACATTTTAAAGGAAAAAACATTTCCTTTAAAATTTTTCTAAGATATACTTAGTCTAAGAAAGTTGGGAAACAAGCTGAAGAGGTCAGTTTATACCTAACTGTATTGTTTCCTGATTTTTTTTTTTGTGAGGCAATGGGGGTTAAGTGACTTGCCCAGAGTCACACAGCTAGTGAGTGTTATGTGTCTGAGGCCGGATGTGAATTCAGGTCCTCCTGACTTCAAGGCTGGTGCTCTATCCACTGCACCACCCAGCTGCTCCCTTATTTCCTGATTTTTAAATGCTGGTCCTTGACTTGATGAGCCAGTATTAACAGGTTTACCAACTTGGATCACAACATTAAGGCACTGACATGTCAAGACAAAAAGGAAATAGTCCCTGCTGTCAAGGAACTGACCTTGTAGAGGAAGACAGTTCACAGTACAAATCTATAGAGTGTCCCAAAAGTTTTAACGTATTAAAGCTTAAAACTGCTCTGAGACTTTTCGAATACCATCCAAATATAAAAAGAATAATGCAAAATGAATAGTAATAATAGCAGCTTTTACACAGTACTTTAAGATTTAAAGAATGCTTTACAAATATCTCATTTTACCCTCATAACAGCCCTGCGAGGTAGATGTTATTATTGCCATTTTTTTTTTTTAGGCAGTTGGGGTTAAGTGACTTGCCCAGGATCACAGAGCTAGTTAAGTGTCAAGTGTTTGGTCTGAGGCCAGATTTTAACTCCGGTCCTTCTGACCTCAGGGCCGGTGCCCTATCCACTGTGCCACCTAGCTGCCCCTTATTATTACCATTTTATAGATGAGGAAATGGAGGCAAACAGAGACTCAGTGGCTTGCCCAGGGTCACACAGCTAGTGTCTGGGGCCAGATTTCAACTCCAAGTCTTCCTTACTCCAAGGCTATCACTCTACAAATTAAACCTAGCTGCCTTAGTTTTGGAAGGGGAGGACACCAGTAGCTAGAGGCATCAGGAGAGGTATATTATGGTTATGATGATAATAACTGTCATGTATAGGTGCATCTGTATACAACTTGGAATATTTGCAAAGCACTTTAAGTATATTATCTCATATGATGCAACAGGCATTGTCAAATACACTTCGTAGATTAGGAAACTGAGGCTGAGAGAGAAGATAAATGACATGAACCTAGTAATTCAAAGCCGGGTCTTCCCGACTCCCCATCCAGCATCCCATCCACTAAGTCTGGACCATGTAGGTTTTCTCTCCTCCTCTTGCGCACATCTGGACTTTTGACTGTTCATAGCAGTACCTGGCCTGGATGGTGGACGAGTCATCCATGTTAGTTGATTAGCGTGCCTCTTGAGAGTATGTAGAAGAAAGTTTGGGGGAAGAAGTTAAAGCTTTTAGTTCCAAGGAACTCTGAGGGTTTCCTGGTCCCTGCCTCAATACCAATCCCATCTATAAAAGGGAGTTCCTACTTTATTAGTGTTTTTGTCATGCCCCCAGTCTATCTAGACCAGGCAGTTTCCAAGGCTGATAAGGAGGGGGAAAAGGGGAGAAATCTTGTTTATTTTTTTGGAAGCTAGATTAAAAAAAAATCTGTCCACTGGTCTGGAAGTAGACTGCTGTGGAAAACAGCGTTCTAACTGGACACACAACCTTAGGGCTCTGGGAACTGACCCTTGTTGTCTGTCATCTCAAGGTCATGGAGGCTGAGCAGACCAAGACAAGAAGTGAGCTGGTACACAAGGAGACAGCAGCCAAGTACAACGCTGCCATGGGCCGCATGAGACAGCTGGAAAAGAAGCTCAAGAGGGCCATCAACAAATCCAAGTAAAGTCTGGAGCAGCAGGGCCTGCTGGTCTAGCCAATGTCAGGGCATGGGACTGGGGTGGTTTGAGTTACATCATTAACATAGTTCACGGGGTCAAGATCTTGAGCTAGACGAGACCTTACAGGCCATTTCGTCCAGTCCCCTCAGAAGGAGGTGGTTACAGCTATTAAGTGTGGGGCAGCATCTGGACCCAAGTCTTTCTAACTCCAAGTCCAATGGTCTCTCCATAGCACTAGAGCTTCTGATGCGTGAGGGGTATGAAGTTCATTTTCATTATGAACAGATGCCTCTGGGATGTCAGTTTTTGCTGTACCATATCATGGGTGGTACTGCTCAGATGTCACTTCCTTTCTGCAGCAAAGGATTTCTCAAAGGAGAATTTATTTTTCATTCATTATTTAGTGAGGTCTGCAATGAGTCCATGGGCGTCCTTAGGGTTGGTTCATGTGTAGGATTTGAGTCATGAATGAACCTCTCTTGAACCAGGGATGGGATGGAAGCATGCCACTCCAGTGTGTAGGCTAATGTCTGCTCTGAAGCCAGGATGACATCTTTCATTACATGGTTCCGGCAGTTCCACCTTTCCTTGAGTTGGGCAGTTTTCAGAACAAAACAAAGCAATATTTAGTAACCTCTCATCCAGTTTCTATGAGGCAACAGCATGGAGGATGGCTCGTTTTCAAGACAGGGGAATATGTTAGATAATATGTTTGTTTCGGTGACTGCTGGAGACCAAAGCTCCTAGGGTGGAGTAGACAGTCCTGTAGGCCTGCCTCATCAGGAATTGAGGCGACACACACAGCAGCATGATGGCCTGGGTGAGGCAGGTGATGGTGTATGCTCACCTCTCTGAATGCTCAATTACCCAGAAAGATCTGCACCGTGGTCGGGGCTGTCAGGCTCTCTGGTGTCCCTGTCCCTGGAGGAAGCACTAGAAATTTTACATGTGGCTTCCTTCCAAGATCTTGCTGGGTCTGGCAACCACTGCTCCAAAGTTCTCAGCCAGTTTCATAAGGGAAGGGATGTGGGTGGGGTGCATCCTTCACGTTATCTCCCACATCTCTGGCCTTGTCTGCACTCATGGTTAAGCCCCAACATGGAGTTTTTCTCATTCTGGTGTGTGTGTGTCTCTCTCTCTCTTAACTATGGATCAGGGTTATAACTTGAGAAATAATGACCCTGGCCAGAAAAGTGAATTTGAACGTCCTGTGCCCTGAAGGTAAAGGGTGTGCATGCACTTTGATGGTTGACCCCAGGCATATTTAGCACTGGCCAGCCTCTTCTCACCCAAGGTGGGAATGGAGTGTGGGGAAGTGATTTCACTAGCTCAGCAAGGTATTCTAGGTTTGTGCCTTGGAACTGAAGGCTGCCTCTAACCTTACCAGCAGCTGCAGTCTCAGAAATAACTTACAGTACCCAGCATTCAAAAAAGGCCTGTGAGACACCCCTTGTAGTTACTATGGTCACAGTAATAAATTTTCCTTTCCTTCCCTCTGTCTTCCACAGACCTTATTATGAACTCAAGGCAAAGTACTACGTACAGCTCGAGGTATGTGGGGTATGCTATCTTCTCTCTGTTGCTATGATTCTTCTAGATTGCAAGATTGTGTTGTGTCCACCGGGCACGTTTCAGATAGATTAACTGGTCTGCTGTTCTTGGGGGAGGGTGATGATGGAAGGGCCTGTTTTTAATGGAGAAGCTCAGGAGACTCTCTAGATTCTGGGCCCTTCAGTGGCTCTCTAGTCAGTATGAAGGACTGAGGCTGAAGGCTGTGTTCAGAGAGGTGCTTCAGGGCTCCGGTGTGGGCTTCCTTTCTGCTATGATTCAAATTCTGTAGTTTTTAGGCCTGTACTTTGCCAGCCCCTCTCACCAGGTATTAGGGGAGGGTTCTGGGTGATGTCATCTAGTGAGTTGGGTGATAGTTCATTCAATACATTCAGAGTATAGAGGGAGAAATGTGAAGCAGCCTCTGACCTTGAGTAACTCAGGTTCTCTGAGGGGAGGCAACGGGTACACAAATACAAAACGTTGGACGGACAGATACTGAGGAGTTGGAAACAGAAAAGGGATCTTGCAGGGGTGGCACTTCAGCTGAGCATCCACGGGAGCTGGGATCCAAGGGGCAGAGATGAAGAGGAGTGCATTCCAGGCAGGAGGGACAGAATATAAAGGCATGGGGGTCAGGAGACTGGGAGAATCTGGGATCAGGAGGAAGGTCCCCGATTTCCTTTTGAAAAGCTCTTGACTCTCCTGGTAACGGGCTGGCGTGTGTTTAGAGTTTTCCCTAAGTAAGAGGTCCTAGTTACCAAGTCAGGGCCCAGGGGAATGTAAGTCCCCCAAGGGCAGGGGCCAGTCTAGACTTGGTCCTTGGGTCTCCAGCACAAGCCCTGAGCCTCAACCCCCCCCCCCGGCATTTTATTGATCAGTTCTCACTGGGTTGGTGGCCCTTTGTCTCAGTGAGCACCCTCCCCTCATTCTGTGTATCAGCAATTGAAGAAGATAGTGGATGATCTGCAGGCCAAACTGTCTCTGGCCAAAGGCGAGTACAAGACGGCACTGAAGAACCTGGAGATGATTTCTGATGAGATCCACGAGAGGAGACGTTCCAGCGCCATGGGTCCCCGGGGCTGCGGGGTGGGGGCCGAGGGTAACAGCACGTCTGCAGAGGAGCTCTCCAGGAACAAGCCCGAGCTTGACTCAGCTTCCGGTGAGTGGGCAGGTCCGAAGGTAGGTCGGGGGAAAGTTGTATCTTGTGCAGAAAGGGGGAGATCCCAACCCTAGGCAGCTCTTGGGGGTTTCATGTCTTAAAGTGACAACATAAACATCCTGGAAGGACGTAAGGCTCAAGGAGAAAAGGAAGACTTGCTTGTCCCATTAGGAGACAAAGGTTCTCTCCCCCTTCTTGCTAATGAGGACTCTTCTCTTAGGTCTGGCTTCATACGACAGTCCTTCCTCACCTTCCGTGGGGAGCTACACCCTTTTAAGATGTTACTTTGGGCTGGCTTTCCTTCTCATTCTCTTCTGTCATCCTGCCCTGAGTAATCGAGGGCACAAGGGATGGCCTATCCAGGTGTCATGGACCCCTTCTCCCACTTTCAACAGTTTTGTGGCAGACGGTCCTCTTCTCAGAATAACATTTTCAAATGCATAAAATACACAAGATTACAGAGGAAACTAATTACATTAAAATATTTATCAAATTGTTTAAAAAAAAAAGTTCAGACTCCAGGTTAAGAATCTCTACTTGATACTACTCAATAGGACCCCACAAATAACCACAGCCAACATTTATATGCCTCTTGATTTGAGCCCCCTGACAAAGCACAATAGAAATGGAGGCTGAGGAGGGTTGAGTGACTTCCTCCTGGTCACACAGCTACTAGATTAGATATCAGGCCAGATCTGAGCCCATCTCCTTCAAACTCCATATCCAGGACACTCTCCAGGACCCTCAGTCATTTTAGTCTCTCCCTCCCAAATTTCTCTTGTTCTGTTAGGCCTTTACTTTCTCAGCTCATGACAACCAGTGTCTCTTTCCCATAGTGCCAGTTCAATGAAGTTATTTTTCATGTGTTCATACTTAAAAATAAGGGGGAAGTAGAGTGGTAGAGGGGGAAAGGGTCCAATCAACAGCTTGTTGCCAAGGCTAGTTGTTGAGCAGAGTCAATTAACAAGGTCTGGGAGAGACCCCTCCTCGGGGAAATAGGAATATTGCAGGTTGTGGTGGTGGGGTCACCTCAAGATCATCTAGTTCTATGGCCCCTCCCTTACTTACAGCTAAGATAGTGAGGCTGAGAGGCTGTGAATGAGGCGGGCTCCAACCCTGAGTCCTGACTTCAGTGTCTGCATTCCTCCCCTGGTGCCATCTCAGGGACGATTGATGTGACATTAGGGCACAGGAGCTGTGATGGGGGAAGCATGTCCAGTGGGCTAGGTGGAGTACGGAAGCAGCAATGCTTTGGAAAGAACATCCATTTCAGGGAAATGATAGCTCCTCCTCTGCCTGGGACTATATGGATCCATCAGGTCTGATTCGTTTGTGCTGTTTCTGGAGGGCAGGGGTCTCCAGACCTAAAGCTGGGTCTCTGGGCCTGGATTTAGGTATGTACAGACAAGGAAGGATTTCTGGTCTCCCTGAGAATTGCTCATTATAGTTATATGGAAGGGAAGAAAAAGCCTAACCCATTCCCCATCTGAGGCCAATGATTATGGACCCCATGCAAAGAGCAGCATTCTGACATTCTGTTTTTCCCTTGACCTGAGATTTATAGTAGGATTTCTTCCTCTCACCACCCAGACATTTTCTGCTAATAAATGGGGAAGGAAAGAGACTCTTCATTGATTTCTGTGCAGGGGGTTTAGAGATGAGTTCTAGGCCATTTCACATCCTATGATTTAAGCCACCACAGTGATTGTCTAGTGGTCATTCATTAGGAGCAATTCCCATGTGGTGTGGGCCTTGCCCCTGGGTTTCTTTGCCCTTTGAGGAAAGGGAAAGAAATAGCCCTCTCCTTTTGTCCCCCACAGCGGGCCAGGGGGTGAAGGCACAGCCTCGAGGGGTGTTAGTTCCTGTATACCTGTCTGCCTGCCCCCCAAAGCGGACTGTAAGAGACGGCTTGTCGTTTGGCAAACCCAGCGAGACTTGTGTTCTCTCCAACGCTGCAGTGGCCTCGGAGGCATTGGAAGATGACAGCTGCAGCAGCTTTGTGTCAGAAGAGGATTCCGAGACCCAGTCTGTGTCCAGCTTCAGTTCGGGGCCGACAAGTCCTTATGAGCTCCCGAGCCCGCTCTCTCTCGTCACGAGGCCCGGCAGCCTCGATCTGCCCAGTCCTATGTCTCTCTCAGAGTTTGGGATCATGTTTCCTGTGCTGGGTCCTCGGAGTGAATGCAGTGGGGCTTCATCCCCAGAGTGCGAAGTGGAAAGAGGTAAGGAGCATGGCCTTTTCTCTTCCCACCCTGCTCTGCTTCCCGCTTGTGAGGAGCCATTGGTGGATCAAGTCCCTTCCCATGTTCACGTGGCTCATGGGGGATGGGGGGAGAACTACTCTCTGTGACTACCATCTTGCTGTTTTGTCTCCTGAAGCCAGACAAACTCATTTGTTTTAAGCAGGCAGCTGGTGGCCCAAAGAGCACAAAATTTGGAGTCAGGAAGACCAGAGTTGAAGTCCAGCCTTAGACACTTGAGCTGTGACCTTGGGCAAATCATTTAACTGTAAAATGGGAATCCTCACAGCACCCCCCAATTGTTGTAAGGATCCACTATGATATTTGTAAAGTGCTAAGGCACAGCATCTGGCTTCTAGTAGGTGCTACATAAATGCTTATTCCCTTTCCTTCTAGTCCTACATGTCCTTGGAGACAGGGTAGGACAGCAGATCAAGAATCCGTCAGGAAGATTTGGATTCAGGTCACACCTATGACCTAGGCGACCTTGGCAGAGGACACTTTTTGTAGTAGCAGATATCTTGATAAGCTTAGGGTGGATTCTGATTTTGGGGGGGGGGCTAGGCAATGGGGTTCAGTGACTTGCCCAAGGTCACACAGCTGGTAAGTGTTACATGTCTGAGGCCACATTTGAACTCAGGTCCTCCTGAATCCAGGGCCGGTGCTCTATCCACTGCGCCACCTCGCTGCCCCAGATTAGGGTGGATTCTGGTCCCATTCAGACTTGCTGGCTCTGTTTCCCCATGGACTGAGGGGCAGGGACATTTGGAGAGGACCAAACTTGGTTCTGACAGACCAGCAGCAGGTTCTGGCCCTCTTGTGCTGCCGGGTTCTGTAAGCCATCCCGAGGTGTCTGTCTAGCAGTTGTATTGCATTTGATGATCCTCTCTCTCTCACTGTATTTCTTCAGGGGACAGGGCAGAAGGGGCTGAGAACAAGATGAGTGACAAAGCCAACAATAACAGGAGTGTTAGCACCAACAGCAGTGGAAACAGCAGCGGCTCTTCCCCTGCAGACCGGAGCCTGGAAAACGAGATCAAGCAGCTCTCCCTTCAGTTTCCAAAGGGAAAAGATGGGATTCTCGGCGACAGAAAAGTGGTGCAGATCGGCTGAAGGATCTGAGGAGGCCAGTGCTCAAAGATCTGAATATTTATATGTGAAACTCTAGACATACGGACAGAGTGTTGTGCCAATATTTCTTTACTACATGCCAAATCTTAAGCATTTACTCTGAACTGCACTAGGGACATTTGTGACCCAGAGGGCTGGATTCAGCTCTGGTTTTCTGCCCGGCATGACATCTTGGGTGGGTGGGCATGGGGGAGTGGACAAGTTGTGAGCTGGACAGGCTTGTCCTCACATTCCTCCAGCATCTGTAAAATACATCCTTGTTTGAAGCAATGACAACTTCTCAGAATACAGCGTGGAACAAGAAAAGGGCTGGGACACCAAGCCTGACCTTGGCAATTGGAGCAGAGCACTTTGCTCCTTTCTCTTCCTATAACTGTTTTTGTGTTTTGAAAGATGAAGCTTCTGTTCCTGAGTAATCTGGAGTGGGTGGCCCTCCTAAAGGAAATGATCTGAAAATACAGTAATTAAAATATCCATCACTTTTAGTATTGTAAGGCATTAACAAAATGACTTCCAAAAGAGCCGTTGTCTCTGAGTCACAGAGGCAAGCCCCAGACTTACTAATCGCCTCTCATCCATAGAGATGACCTGTTAAAAAGGTAAATGGTGCTCAACATGGGGCACCCACTTAGAAGCTTTTTCAGTGGCTTTGAGCAAGATTCCTGGAGATGAGCACTTTGTGGGCCAGGGGAGACCGGGGTTCACCCAAGTCTAGATAACTTATTGTAGTGGGGTATTCCTGGCTAGACGGGCAGCATAGCATAGTCCTTGTGTTGCCAGCCAAGGGGGGGGAGGGGGGGAAATCCACGGTTTGTTCTTCATGAGATGCATGTGCCAGAGCAGTTGGCCTTCATGGTATCTAGACTGGCAGAAGTGTTCATTTATCTGTGGGCTGTAACTTTTTCCTTCTCTTTTTAAAAAGCAATTATTTACGAGTTATGCTGCTCTAAGCAGACATTACAGACACTGTTCCTTCCAGCCTAGAAAAAGGGAGTTTGGCATGTCTTGGCTGTCCCACAGAAGCAGTGAGGTCGAGTAGTTACGTTCATAGGCGTAAGCGTAGGATTGTTCTTTAAAGTTTTGGTGGTTTGAAGTAAATAAAGCACCGTCGCTGTCCCTCTTTGGTTTGTCTGAGGGGTATGGGGGGGGGGAGAAACCCATCACACCCTCATCAACCACACTCACCCTCAATCTATTTCATGTGATGGGATGTCAGTTTGGTTTTTTTGTTGTTACTGTTCCTGCCCTAGCTTGAATATCTAGTCATGTTTGTAAACTTCTTCACACTGGTAAACCTTCAATTTTTCCTATTTTTTATGGACTGATACGGTATCCTGAATTCGAAGTTATTTTGTACTTGTCTTAATACCTTGAATGTAATAAAAAGAAAATCTCAGGACGGTGCAAAAGCCTCTGTGACTTCATAGAGTAGCAAGAATCTACATACAACATGACCTAATGAAGCACAATTTTTCCTCCCCCTCCCTTCTTACATCACAAACATGATGATTCACGATCTACTGTTCTCCATACAGCACTGCATACCTCTTGTATTACAAAGAAAAGCAGTTAAGAAAAAGTGACCCAATCTGAGACAATGGGCTGCACTTCCAGCCTGTCAGCTCTGTGGGGGGTGGGGTAGAGATTGTGTCCAACCTTCTAGTCTCTGGGACTGTCTGATCACCTTTGAGGACCTAGGAGCCCAAAGAAGCAACATTGCGATCAACATTCTACGTAATTACACAGCTGCCCCTTATCTTTGCTTTCCTTTAAGAGCTTAAATCCTACATGGGCTTCCTTTAAACCAAAGCAGTGAGGCACAGTTCCCATGCCTCTCTTGCAGTTCATTTTATACCTAGCTGGAAACACCACAGTAGGACCGAGTTGTTTGTGCGTTCCATCACAAAATGACAAGCTATAGAGAAATAATAAAGCTCAGTACAGAACTGTCGGATAATGGCCCACCCCAAAGATGAACATAACATAGCACTGCCAGGATATGGATTTAGAGCTGGAAGTGACCCAAAGGTCATCCAGCCCAACACTTTCACTTTATGGGTGAGGAGCCCAAGGCCTACAGCAGGCTTCCACCTTGTTCACTTCCCTTCGGTGGGCCCGCTTCCTCCCCTGTAAAATGAGAGTTGAACTGTGGAAGCCTCTCCTACTCCAAGCCCATCTTCTTTATGACTAGCACGCAGTAATTCACCAAGTTTAAGAAGCGCCTGTTAGGTACATTTAGAACACGATTTAAAGTTCTCAAAGCTACAGCTCAGTGACCTAAGGGAAGTCACTTCATTGTGCTCAGCCCTCAGTTTCTTTATCTGTAAATGAGGAGACTGGGCTAATTCGATCTCAAAGATCACTTCTAGCCCTAAATTCAACATCTCATGATCTCCTCCCGCTGTAACATCTCGAGATCCGATGAAAGCGCTCCTCAGGCAAGTAAGCAGGTTAGCGCCAGTCGTCTTTAAGGTCTCCGGATCTCAATCCTGGAATCCTCGATGCCAGACCTAGGATCCGAAACCAAGCTTACTGCTACGAGGAAGTACACGTGAACCCTGCTCCCATCTACTACTTGGGTCACACCAAGGATACCTCGGAGGCTGTGGCGACCTTTTCTCCCTCCTTGGGCCTCCAATCCCTCCAAGCTTCAGGCCCCTCTTGGCTCTCCCCTCTACTTTGAGCAAATCACTGCTCATCTCTCACTCAACCTAAGCCCTGGGATAGTCCCCCATCCTTCTCTTCTCCAGCAGCTGAAAGCCACCTCATTGTGCTGACTGAGCACACAATGAATTCATGTGACCTAGCTACCAGGGGGCCAACAGCCACAGCCACGTAAGCCCTCAGGGACTCGTGAAGCCCTATTCACCACCATCCTCTGCTGTACAGAAGCTCTATCTAGCTGGTGGCTCACTGTGACTGAGCTGAGTCTTAGGGGAAACAATGGACCTTTAAAGGAAAACAATGAATTCTCTTTCTGCACCCCTCAAAGGAAAGACGATCTGGAAACGTCAGACTGGAATACTGACAAAGGCACCAAAGATCTCCTCACAGCACTTAAATCTACCCTCCTTATTTCACAGATATGTAAACCGAGGCCCAGGGCAGGGATGTGACCATCCCAAGGTGACACGGCTGGCACTCAAAGACCTGAACCCAGGTCTTCCTGTCTCGAGGCTGACTTTCTACCCACTAAGTGACACTGCCTTTCAATGACTCTGCCATTTTTTCCAGGTCTGAGGAGGTAGTATAAACCACCTTAGAAGTGTTGTGAATCCAATGATTATTGTATCACCTTAATCCTCTTTATGGTTGAAAAGGACTATGGGAAAAGCGAGACTGACATGAATGAATGAAAACCTACTTATGGGTTTCCATTTTTGAAAGAGCATAATTGGGATGCCATTCAAAGTAAAGAGCTGGGGGCGACAGGGAGGGGGTGGATTCCTCTGTGTGTGAGATATCTGAGGATAATCAAGGCACATTCACAAGAGGTCACTTACCATCTAAGACAGTCAAGAACCAAGGAATACATAAGTCCGGTGCAGAAAGTCCATGAACTCTGCTCAGAGGAGAAACCTTGTTATATTCCTGGTAGAACGTATGCTCCTTGAGGGTAGGGACCGCTTCACTTTTTGTCTTTGTGTCCCCAGCACTTACCACAATGTCTGACATATACTGACAACTCAGTAACGCCTATGACTGAAATAAAGAAAGGTGAGAGAGTGATAAGATAAATGTGGTCTACCTTCTGACAGGATGATGCCATGTAAACTTTAAAGGACTGGATTTAAATGCTGACAGCCCCAAGTACTGCTTGGGTGTGCTTGGGTAAATCACAAGCTTTCTGAGACTCTATTTCTTTATCTGCAGAGTGAGGGGTTGGGCTGAATGGTCCTTGGGGTCTTTGCCAGCTCTAAAGCTCTGTTCCTGCGAGCTGATGAGAAGCAATAGCTAAAGTTCAGACAGACTCAGGTTAGACTCTCAGCTTCCCACTGCCACACCCAGGAGATTCTGTGGGCATATCCTCATTTTACAGGCAGGGAAACAATTTAACATCTTGTTAAATCACACCGCCAGGACTGACTCTAACGTCCTCAGTTTACAAATATGTAATACTTCTTGGGGAAGAACCTATGAGGGAACAGTTTGTTAGGTAAGTGGCCAAGCCCCATTACAAGCAGGGAACAAAGAGTCAGATTACCCTCCACTGCACAGAGTTATGCCTATGGCTTGTGAAGGCAGATAACCCCTCAAGGGGGACCATGGACTGACCGTGCTCTCATCATGACAATTTCACAGAATCCCAGAACAGTGGAACTGGGAGGCAATGTATGATCATCTTATCCACCCTCTAGCAGATGAGGAAATGAGGCCAGAGAAGCTAAATGACTTACTCCACGTCTTAACGGCCAGTTAGAATTCAGATCAACTTTCAGTCCAATTTCCTTGTTCTATGGCAGCCAGCAAATACTAAGGACATACTCTGTGCCAGGCCTGTGCTTAGTCTCTTCTTGTTAGAGCCACTGATGATAATAATAATAATAATAATAATAATGATAATGATAATAGTAATAGCCACTTGTTAGAGCCTGCTATGGCGCAGGTCACTCATCAAATAACACTATGACCAAAAGGGCTGATTTAATTTACTTGTCTCTTGCCCTTCACAAGAAGTCATACGAGCTGGGTGATATTCTTTACCTCCTTGTCCACTATCCTCAGTCCACAACTAACCTCTTCTTCTTATCTTCTTACTCATGGGCCAAGTTAGTTTAATTCCCATCCCAGGCTGGAATTACAGAAACAAAGCAAGTTTAGTCCATTTGAATATGCTGCAAACATTATGTTAAAAAATGTATCTTTGATGGGACAATAAATACAAAGGACAGTGTTTTAAATAAATGATCTTGTGCTAGCACACTATTCTATGAAGACTGATGCTTTAATCAGGTCATCATAGTGAAATATTAATGAGTTCCCCAATCCCCATCAAAAATATGTCCACAGCCGCCTACCATTGCCTACGGTTAGTTCTGTGGGGATAATGTCTTCCAGTCACAATGCACGACTGGGAGTGCTGGACTCTAAGGAAAGCTCAGGGCCACAGAATTGACACTTTCAAATTGTGGTACCGGAGAAGACTTTTGAGAGTCCTTTGGAAAACTAGGGGATCCAATCAGTCAATACTGAAAAGAAATTAATTGAGACTCTTCACTGGAAGGTCAAATACTGAAGCTGAAGCTTAAATACACTGGCCACATAACAAGAAGATGGGACTCACTAAAAAAGAGCCTGCTGTTGGGAAAGATTGAAGGCAAAAGGAAAAGGCAATAGAGGATGAGATGCATAAATGGTGTCATGGAAGCAACGAACATGAGCTTGGACAGACTTCAGGAGATCATGGAGGGCCTTGGTCCACTGGGGCCATGAAGGACTGGACGCGAGTGAATGGAAGAACAGCAATCTGTCTCACTTATTATGACAAGAAAGCAGTATTCTCTTGGTATTGGGAATTTAAAAGAAAGATGTCAAAATGATTGCAGTTGGCAATAAAACTCTGGGTTTAAGACTTCTAAATTTTTTTTTGCTGCTGCAGTGTGAAAAGAAGGTGCCGCATGTTTCTGTTCGAAAATTCAGGCCCAAAATTACTTTTCTGATCTCAGAATCTTGGTGTTTATGTGGATTAAGATCAGATCAATTTAGATATCAATTAATCTTCAGGAATGTCTAACATTCCCCACCCCCCAACTGCACCACAAATACAGAAAAAGGACCAATGAATAGTATTAATCTAATCTCCCAAAATTATTTAAAATAGGTAAAAATGATATATAAAATATAAAAATATATGATTTAATACAGGATACTAATTTTAAGCTTCTAAAATACTCACTACACCTAATACCATAATAGGACATTTCAAGCAAGTGTTGTCTAGTGGGCAGAAACATGCTATGATTATTGAAAAACCAAAAAGAATTGACACTCTATAGCTCCAACAGTCTGAGCTTCTGAGAGCATACAGCAGTCTTGAAGGGATTTGAAACTTAACACAGCCGACCATGGAATGGGAACTGAGGGTCAGAATGTACCATGCTCAATATTGCTTTTTAAATAACACTAAAGTAAGGTAAACTAGTTGTTATATCCCCAGAGTCTCACACAGTGTAACTTGGCTTGTAACCACTTAGAAGTGCTTGCTAAACTGAAGTGACTCAAAACTAAGTTGCATATAAGTTGCTCACCAAAGGGACCAGAGCTCCTCCCCAGAAGCCCCCTACACCAGCCACATCACAGGGGCCAACTCTATCCTGATCCAACTCAGATGGTCCATTTTCTGGTTGGGTACCAAATTAACGTGCACACCGTAGCCATGCATGCCAGCTAGAATCC